TCCCTGCGCCCGCGCCCAAAGCCCCTGACGAGTACCGGCGGCCCGCAGGCCATGAAGAAGATGTACAAGGCGTGCGTCAAGTACCCAGAGTGGAAGCAGAAGCATCAGCCTCACTTCAAGCCGTGGCTGCACCCGGAGCAGAGCCCGCTGCCGAGCCTGGCGCTGTCGGAGCTGTCGGTGCAGCACGCGGACTCGCTGGAGAACATTGACGAGAGCTCGGTGGCCGAGAGCCGCGAGGAGCGCGTGGGCGGCGGCGCGGGCGGCGAGGGCAGCGACGATGACACCTCGCTCACCTGAGCACTGCACTGCCGCAAGGACTGAGACTGGGCGGGCCGAGCCCAGGGCGTGGACCCTCCTGCGCTTTCTCCCCTCCCGCAACCCCGTGCTTCCTGGGGGAACTGTGCTGGGCCCCGGTCTGGCCGAGGCCTGGCTGGACGCAGCCCAAATAAACGATCCCACAGCCTCAGCTGCCCATCGCTGTGCTGCTTCCCACCTCAGGGCTGGAAAACCAACACCCACCCTGGTCTCCTGGCTCTGCAGTTACTGTTGTTAATGTTATTGATCGCCTGGCCTTTGAGCCCTTAGGCCTTTGATTCTTTAGGCCTCTCAGCTTCCCGTAAGCTGGTGGGGGAGGGTGTTGTCACCTCCTCCTCTGCTGTCTCTGTTCACGGTTACTCATTGTCGGTGCTGCTTGTTCACTTTGCTGCTCAAGCCAAGCCCTTTGGGTTGGCATCCTTCACAGCTCTAAGGGAAGGAGCAGGTCTGGTCTGGTGGGAGACCCTGGGTCAGGGCTGAGAGGGTGAGATTGCACTGTGTGACCTTGGGCTCACAGCCGTGTGCTCCCAAGGCCCCTGTGGTCCCACCTATGGTCTGGGGGCTAACATTCTCCTGCCATCATGGGAGGGGAGGGGAGGGTTTGTGGGTCTCAGGCCTCAGGGCTGTGGACCTTAGAGCTGAGGCTGGGCCAGCATGTCCTGGAGAAGGATGGCCAGGGGTGGGGGAAGGGTCCTGGGACTGCAGGGCAGAGGGCCAGGCTCTGTGAAGCACACCCTGACTAGGTCTCTCTGAAGACCTCAGGACTGTGTGAACAGAAATGGTGGGCCCCCATCCCCTGCCCTGTGCTCCACCTGGCTTCTCTGAGGTCCAGGGAACCCCCACTGTTCTTTGTGGCTCCCAGGTGCCATCTACTGCCTGGTCCAGAGGAGAGCCCTATGAGTTTGGGGGCTGGAAGTTCTCCCCAAGGTCTGGCCCTGCTCTCCCCTCTTGGAAAGCTCCTTGCCTAAGCCCTGCCAGTGTAAGACAGTCCCCTCAGAATCAACTGTGTTTTTGTTGTTTTGTTTTTAGAGGTTTTTGCCTTAAGGCGCATGTGCTCACCAGAGAGAGAGACAGAGACAGAAAGAAAGTGAGAGATCGTCCTCCAGGGAGGATGGCCATGCCTCAATCCTTTCTCTTTTCTCCTCCTGGGATCTTGAGCACACATGTACATGCGCCTGGCATGATTTTGAAGCCACCAGGTCCAGGAGTCGAACTGCGGGTCAGCCATGTGGGAGTCCAGTGATGTGTAACCACTATGCCATCTGCTGGCCCTGAGAGTCAGCTGTTTCCCAGAGGGACGGGGTGAAGGCTGGTGGAGAATGGGCAGGAGAATCTGTAACTCACTGGCAGGTTCGAATCCTGGCTTTGCCCAATAGTGCCTTGTAACTCTGGGCAAGTCATTAGAGTCTTGGAGTCTCAGTTACTAGTCTGAGACCTGGAATGAGAATGTTTGCTTTCAAGCCAAGTGTAAGGATTGAGATAAAAGACATAAATTGTCCAGCACTGGGCCTGGCATGTAACAGGGGCTCAAGTTAATGACACTGTCCTCTTCTCAGGGTAAAGCCCCTTGCCCACTCTCCTGACAGCTGTTCTTCCGCATACTCCCATGGTGCATGTGGAGAAGAAGCCCAGAGACTACAGTCTGGGGCATGACTGGCCAGAAGTGCCTTGGACAAAGGACCCAGTAATGTCAGCTGAGCCTGGGGCTCTTAACTGTGTGTGCGCTGGGAGGATGGGCGAGAATCCCCGGTTCCCTAGGCGATGAACTGGGTGCTGAGGATCCTTGGCTATGACCCTGCAGGCTCTTCCCTACCACGAACCTCTGAGGGATGGGGTTAGTCTGAGAGAAGTGGGATACCCTTGAATGCAGTGGGGAAGGACTTCCTGGAGGTGGTGGCTTTCCACAGCCGCCTATTGCCCTGGGGGACGTGGGCCCTTCGGTGTAGGGACAATCACCTGAAAAAGAGGTGGAGAGAGGCAAGGAGATTCAGCGATAGGTTCAAGCGGGTGGGGTAGGGTGGGGTAGGGGGTGGGCCTGAGCTTCCGGAGACACGGGAGGACCTGCAAACAGCGAGGATGGCAGGAGAGGGGCACAGACCGACCGGTCCCGACACCGGCCAAGTCAGCGGACAAGGTTGGGGGCGGGGCCGGGCAGGGGGCGGGGCCCTGCCCCTTCCCCGCCCTGCCCTCCCCCCGGGCGTCACGTGGGGCAGGCGGAAGCGCCCGGTGGGGTGGGCGCGCCTCGCCAGCTGCGGCGAGTTGCTGGACCCTGGGTCCCCGCGTGGAGTCTTCCCTCAAAACAGGTTAGTGCGACCGCCAGGGTATTCCAGTCCGCAGCCTTCTCCAGCTGTGGCCTGCAGTTTCCCCATTTCGCTGAAGGGAACGCCGAGGCCGCGCGGCAAATCCACTCCCCGCGCTTACTTCCCCAGGACGTCTGGTCTGTCTGCCTGCCTGGTGGTGGCGGTCGGGCCAAGGGCGGTAGGGAGGAAGGTGAAGTGGCGGGACACGGGGCTTTTACTTAGTCCAGGGACTTGAAGGCGCCCGGACTCCAGCGCTAACCCGCCCTCGAGGGCCTTGGTTGTCCCATCTATGAAGTGATGAGGCTCCGACCTCATTGACCGCCAAGACCCTTGCAGTTCTGCAGATCCGTATGCCCCTCTGCCCTCGACCTGGGGCCCCAGTGACAGTGGGCAGGCTACTTCCGGTCTCTGCGCCTCAGTTCCCCCGTGGTAAATGAGAGCATGGCCTCCCAAGAGCCCCTACCTGCCCCAGTTGCTGGAAAAGGAGGTAGGTGTGTTCGCTGAATGAGGTCAGGCTGATCTGGCGCTTAGCTGGAGGGATCATCCGTTTCCAGCCTGGGGTACGCGTGGGTATTTGGCCGCTGATCTCCAGGACTGGCTTGCTGCAGGGAACTCAGGTCAGGCGTTCACAGTAAGGCTGCTGTATATGCACTTCCTAGCCCCAAACTTCATGTTCTGGGAGCCTTCCCGGATTCCCAGACTAGGTGGGCCTTGGGGGCTTGGGGCTGGACATGTGGGGGATACTCAGAGAAGGCTTTTCCTGACTACTGGGTCTCACTGTCCCAGACTGGGACCCCCATGACGCTTGTGCTGAGAGAGCGGAGACTTGGGGAGACGGCCCAACCAGATCATTACAGAGCAGAAAGAAACAGCAGAGCCATCAAGACAGGTGTGGACAGGAGCAGACCCAGGGAGGAGGAGCTGACTGGAATGAGCCTGGACAGTTAAGTGGCACTTTATGAAGATAAGGGCCCTCGGGAGGATGGCATGGCTTGTGCAGTGTCAGGAATCGGGACCGTGCGCTTCAGGAGCAGCAAGGAGAGATTGTGGAGAGAACTCACCCTGTGTCCCATGGCTGGCTGGGGATTGTCCTGACCCTGGCCTGGGAATCCTGCCTCCCCGTTGGCCGCTTGCTCACTGGAGTAGGGTAGGAGGAGGGTACTCCAGGCAGAGTACTGATGGCTGGTAAGGAAGAGGGGACCAGAGGCCCCTCAGGGCCCGGATTGCCACCAGGCTTCATTTGGGTATCCAGGCCCCCCCGACCTGGGCTCTAGCTGGGCTTTCCCACTTAGCCTTTTGTACAGGTTGGTTGTTCTCCCCCACCCTCCAGAAGTTTTCTCCCCATCTATACCTTCAGGTTCTTATATGCATATATTTTAAAATTGGCTATAGAGTGTGTGCACTTGTTGCAGGGGAGGGAGTAAGAAAGCATTCCCTGGGGGGATGACCAGGCTGCAGTCCCTTCTCCATTCTCTTGGGAGATCCACACATGACCAGTGTGCTTTTTCTCTTTTAAATAATTATTTAACTTTATTTATTTATTTTTACTTATTTTTAAATTTGACCAGAGAGGAACAGAGTGAGAGAGAGAGCGAGAGCAAGAGAGAGAGAGAGAGAGAGAGAGAGAGAGAGAGCGCACGCGCAAGTCGCCAGGTCCAGGACCCGAACCGGGGTTGGCCATGTGGAAGTCCAGTGTTCTCAACCACCACGACACCTGTTGGCCCACTTGATGTGTTTTGTAAGTTGCTGGGTCCAGGACTTGAACCACTCAGGACCCAAACCACTAATTTGGCCATGTGTGATCCGGTTGCCTTAACCACCATGCCACCATCTGGCCCCACCTCTAGGTTCTTTGGGACTTAGGATTTCAGAAGTGGGCTGCTGATCTCCCTCTCCATCCTGCCCAGCCTAGGAACGGTCTTCTTGGGGCTCTCTGGGGAGGGACCTGCAGAGCCATGGGACTAACTGGGAATAGGGGCTTGGAGTCCCTGGGCAGCCACCAACCATTGTGTGACTCTGCAAGTCCCCAAACTCCTTAGAACTTCCATTTTCCCATCTGCAGGGTGGAGTGATGAGCCCTGGCCTCATGCTCCAAAGAGAGATGGTACAAGGGAGACCCAGGGGAAGGGGACAGTCCTGAGGGGTGGGGACCTCTCAGAGTATGGAGCCTAGTGATGGACCAGGCCTAGCGCATCAGTGAGAGGGAAGGGAGCCCCCTCCACCCTCTGGGGCCCTCTCCCCTTCCCTCCCCGCTCTCCCTTGGCTGAGCTCAAAGCCAGCCGCCAATGCCCAAACAAGTGGCCTCTGTTCCCAGGGTGGGGGAAGGGAGCAGAACCCGGGCTCCAGGCCCGTCTGTCCAGCGCTGACCCTGGCCCCCCGCCCCTCGCTGTGGGTCTTAACCCTTGGGGACCTGGACTGGCCCTGGGCTGTTTGAGGTCTGGTATCCCTTGCCTACCAGCAGTCCCTTCCACCCTGCTTTGGACTCCTAAGAGTTCTGTCACATCAGAAGGGGGTGCAGTAAGATTTCAGTTGGAAAGGGGGAAGGAAGGAAGGAAGGAACAGGACGAGGGGGAGGCTGGAGTAAATATGGCCCCAGACACTCAGAGACTGCTTGGCCCAGAAAGCTTCATTAATAGATGGGGACACTGAGGCTAAGGGCCGGAGATAGTCCAGGATCACACAGGAAGCCCTGTTCGGGGTTTCAGGACCAACTTTGCCTCTCATGTGGGCCCTCTTGGGGAAGGTGAGGCAGGGAGCTCTCTTTGACTTAGAGCCTGCTGTGTGCATGTCCGTGACTCTGTTTAATGTCCTATCACATGAGACCAGGATCACCCTCCAGCACCAGCCTCAGCGAGAGCTGAGTAGGCAGGGCAGCAAACTTGTTGTAACACTGTTGGAGACACTTCCTGTATCAACGAATTTAATCCTGCCAGCAGCCCTAGAGGTTAGGTACTATGTGACAGAGAAGGAAACTGAGGCATGGGGAGATTAAGTAACTTGCCTGAGAGCAGAGTGGGTAAGTGTTAGAGGCAGGTTCAGGACCCAGGTATTCATTTGCCTTCCTTTGCCTCCTCCAGCCTGACCTCATTCCTTGAGCTCAGCCCGGGGTCTGGCTCAGAGGGACGTGCCTTTGGGTGGTGGCAATGAAACCTGGTGGCAATTGGTGGCCAAGGGGCCTTGAGCAGAGTGTGACCCCGGCTAAGCAGCCCTGGCCCTTCCTCAGGAGCAGCGTCCTTCCTCTGGTCTCAGTCAGGTTGGACTCAGTCCTTCCACCACCCTGCACAGACCTAGGGCAAAGTGGGAGGGCTGGTACCCCTTGCCTACCTTCTGTCCCTGCTTCCTCTTTCAGGCCTAAGAGTGCTAAGGGTGGGTGCTCTAGGGGTCTGAGCAGCAGAAGCATATGGGGGGGAGGCCAGACATGCAATGTGCATGCCCCATAAAGCTCGGGGCCTGCTGCTGACTGTGCCCTGATTGTGGTGCTTATCAGAGAGGCCATCTGGTCCACCTGCCCCCCTCCGGGTCAGGCCTCCAGACCTGTACATTCCAACCAGGGCTCTGGGGAGGACAAAGAGGCAGCTGACCTGTGATGTCAGGGACAGTGTAGAGGGCAGTGCGTGGTCGGTCTGTGTGTCTCTCTTCCTTTGGGCCGTAGTTCTGAAGGGAAAAAACAGCCCTGTAATTAGGATATCTGTCCTCGGCCACTGGGACAGTCAATGCTGAAAGAAGTGTGGAGTTAAGTGCCCAGTGTAGTGACCAAGTAGTATTTAGTAGCTGTGAATTCTTATCCAGTAGTGCTAATAGTGGGCCCAGTGGGTTGTTTCTTGGAAGCTTACTCTGTGCCAGGCAGTGTGCTCGGACTCTGTGTTCTGACTTCAGTTAATCCTCAATAATCATCTCATTGGGTAGCACCATTCCCATTTTTTAGACGAGGGAGCTGAGCCCCGGCGAGGGTAAGGAACGTGCCCACGATCATCCGTTGTGTAGAATAGCTGGGAGTCTATTTCCGTTGTTCCGTGGGAGAACTCTGGCCCTGGGAGGCATTGCAGACAGAGGGATCCAGACTCAGTCCTACCCTGGAAACTCCCATCCCAATAGCGGGGATGTCTGCAGGTGTCTTGCTCCCAGGCCAGGCTTCTGGGCCCTCAGGGATCCAGCCCTGGGAGGAACACCTCCGGTAAGTCTGGTTCCTGCTCTTGCCTAGGCCCACGTGCCCTGGCTTTTATTTAGTACAGTGGTTCTCTCTGACCCGCTTTGCTGATGAGGAGGCTGAGTCAGTAGGTGAGTGACTTGGCTGTGATCTTCAGCCTAGGAAAGAGAGCTAGGGCTGGAGTGCCAGGGGGCTTGAGGCCTGTGCGCTACTGCCCTGCTGGGGCCTGCCCAGGGGCCCCCAAAGCCCTGAGGTTCCTTCAGACAGTGCCTACGCTGCCTTGGCAGAGGGTCCAAATCTCCCCAGCCAAACCAAGAGTCATGCCTTGTAGGTGCCTGTGGCTTCTGGCAGCAGAAGCAAGGGGGCAGGAGAGGACAGTTGGTATCTCTTAGGGCCACTCGCTGTCTCCATTCCCAGAGCGGGGACCAGAGCTATACCAGAGGGCTTGGGGCAGCCTGGCCCGTCCAGCTCCCTAGGCCAGACCAGTGCTGGGCGTGTTAGTCTCCAGGGTAAGGAGAGCAGCAGCAGGGCCTCAAGGTGCCTGGGTCTCCCCTGCCAGCTTCTCTGCTGCCCTGGAGGGCAGTGCCCTGCCCCTGGGCAACCCTTCCTCTCCTCCCCTCTCTCTTTTTTCTTATTTTTAAATAAATAATTATTTATTTAATTTCATTTGTTGTTATTTTAAATTTTTTACCAGAGAGAGAGAGAAGGGGAAAGGAGAAAGCAAGCCACCAGGTCCATTACTTGAACTGCAGTCAGCCATGTGGGAATCTAGCGCCTTTAACCACCACGCCACCTGCTGGCCCTCTTCTCCTCTCTTCACTGTAATATTGGTGGCTGGGTGTTTGTCTGGAGTCAG